CATCCCCGTGTACCATAACGGTCCACTTGTACGCTGTGAGAAAGAAGCAGAGTGAAGAGGGATGGGATAAACACAAGGAGGAGAGCTGAAAAGCAGACAAACAAAGAACGATAAAGGGAAGTACGGTGTGTGGAGGCTCAAGAATGAGTCTGTCCTTGACGACAAAGAGGACATACATTGTAAGGATGAGGTGGATGAACACATGGAAGACCTAGCTGAGCATTCTCAGTGCAACAATCGCCACAACGGCTGGCATTGAGCATGCCCACCATTCACCCTCGACAAATGGCATGTCGATTGGCGGCCAAAATGAAGGAAGAACGGTCGCCACAAAAGACCATGCATTCAGTACAACGCCTGTGGCTGCAAAATGAACATATAGTGTCTGGATGCGGAGGGTGCCTGCAGTCATGAACGGAGGGACAGTCCTGTGCACACATGGATGCAGAAACCATGTCATTGTAGTGATCATGACAGAGACAATGGCGGCTACAACCGAGTGTAACAGTAGTTGTCGTTGTGCAAAGGAGAAGGTTGCACAGTGTTGGTACATTGTTTTGCTGCAGCATGGGGCCGAAGGAATGATCTTCGACATAAAAAAGATTGCGGACGGTTTGTTGTGGCAAGAAAACAACATCATTCTGTAGGAAGTCAGTCACATCAGTCATGGCATGGATCATAGTGCCATTGCCCCACAGTTCCCGGTGGTCAGAGGCATGTACAATGGCCATGTAATGGCCAGGCCCGTGCACAATGCAGGCAAAGATGTGGGATGGAGGATTAAACCACGCACTTGCTCAAGCATTGAGTAGTTCAAGTTGACCGTCCCTCATTGCTACTTGTAGCACAGCAATGGTAAAGCCTCCTTTGCTGGTATAATTACAATCCTCTGGCTGTAGTTGAGGAAGATCAGCATCAAGCTGAAGGGCGATTGCAAGGAAGTCTGATGGTGTATAAAACGAGCGGTGGAGAATGTGAAGACAAATATTAGTTGTCGTCAGACCACAGAGATTGGTGAGGTTCTCAGGCTGGTTTGTTGGATGCTGGCCAACAATTTGCAGATCACCCAGATGGTGTTGCCAGGCCATACCGTGTTGGGTTGTTCGCTGGTCATCACCCATGTGGTCTGCGCGCGGTGGAGCACAAATTTGTGGTTCGCCTAAACAGTGCTGGTCAGCCATTTGCAGATCCCCCATGTGGTCTACGCCTCGTGGGGTCAACTTCAATCCGGGCCGATCATGTTTGAATCCCTCAACGTAGGGCTGCATCCTGAGTAGGGACTGTCCCTGGAGTCGGGAGTGTACTCTGGGCAGGGACCACATCCTGCCGTACAGGTGAGTCCTGAATATCTAACGCAGCTGGGTATAAAACATGGTGTTGTGGCTGCCTGCAGGCAGCTGCACTATCTGCAGGAGGCATAGGAGCGGATATTGTCATTTGAAACAAAGGAACCGCAACAACCTATGGAGGAGGCACAAAGAGAATCGGGGCAGACAAAGAAACAGGTTGCTGATCCTCGGACAAGTGACGATGTCGTGGATGTCGTCGGCGATACACAACAAAAGGAGCAGTGGTGTTGCAAATAGAAGACGAACTTGTCCCTAGCAACGAAGGTGGAGCAATGGGAACAATGAAAACTGGAGAGTCTGTTTGCAAGCGAGACTGTCGCGGAGATGGGGGTGGTGAGGAGGAACGTAGCCGTCTGTGGCCAAGCACAGAAAGAGATGAGAGGGGAGTAGATTGGCGAAGATTTCAGAAAAAAGGACGTGAGTGTTGGAGAGACTGTGATGTTCTTTGCACTAGAACTGCAGGAGAGGAAGCTGTAGCTGTACAAACTACACCACGGGGATTTCCAGTTATGGAAACTACTATACTGAAAACTGCAGCAGTGGAAACCATAGCAGTGGAAACTGGAGCAGTGGAGACTGCAACAATGGAAACCGCTACAGTGGACACTGCAGCAGTGGAAACCGCAGCAGTAGAAACTGCAGCAGNGAAACCGCAGCAGTAGAAACTGCAGCAGTGGAAACTGGAGCAGTGGAGACTGCAACAATGGAAACCGCTACAGTGGACACTGCAGCAGTGGAAACTGCAGGAGTGGAGACTGCAGCAGTGGAAACCGCAACAGTGGACACTGCAGCTGTGGAAACTGCAGGAGTGGAGAATGCAGCAGTGGAAACTGCGGTAGCAGCAGATGAGCAAGCAGGGGCATGACAAGAGCGTCGTGGGGGCGAAGAAGAAATTGGATGCTACAAGGACCATCGCAGCATGCGTCGGAACCACTGAGAAAGACGCGTCACATGCGTAGGATAGCAACATTGGCGGGAGCGCATGTAGCAGGTCCACCCCTTAGCAAGGGTTGTTGGGGAATGCCCACGCGAAAGCATGCGACGAGTAAGTGTTGTTGCCGCAGTTCGAAAGTCCTGCCAATTTTTATCTATATTGTCACATAGCTATGAGCTAAAACAGCGCACTTTGCGACAAAAAGGATAAAAAAACAAAACAAGGGCACGTTGAAACATTCAATTTCTCATTCTTCTTTTAACTCCCCCTACACTGTGCCTCTCACGTACAAGGCTCGCCACATTGATGAAGTTGATCGCGAGCCGCCCCCATCCCCGTGTGCCACAACAACCCACTTGTACGTTGTGAGAAAGAGGGAGAGTGGAGGAGGGATAAAAACAGGGAAGAGAGATGGAGAAGAGACACACAAAGACTGATAAAGGGAAAGTAAGGGAAAGTACAGAGTGCAGAGTGAAGATGAAGGCAAATGAGGATAAGAATGAGTTTGTCCTTGACGACAGAGAGGACATACATTGTAAGGATGAGGTGGATGAACACATGGAAGACCTAGCTGAGCATTCTCAGTACAACAATTGCCACGACGGCTGGCATTGAGTATGCCCACCATACACCCCCCGACAAATGGCATGTCGATTGCAGGCCAAAAAGAAGGAAGAACGGTCACCACAAAAGACCATGCATTCAGTATAGCGCCCATGGCCGCAAAATGGACATAATGTCCGGATGTGGAGGGTGCCAGCAGTCAGGAACGGAGGGACAGTCCTCTGCACACATGGATGCAAAAACCATGTCATTGTAGTGATTGTGACAGAGACGCTGGCGGCAGCCGAGTGAAACAGTGTTTGTAGCCATGCAAAGGAGCAGGTCGCAGAGTGTTGGTACATTGTCTTGCTGCAGCACGGGGCTAGGGGAATGATCTTCGACATAAAAGAGATTGCGGACGGTTTGTTGTGGCAAGAAAACAGCACCATTATGTAAGAAATCAGTGACATCAGTCATGGCATGGACCATGGTGCCGTTGTCCCACAGCTCCCAGTGGTCAGAGGCATGTACAATGGCCATATAATGGCCAGGTCCGTGCACAATGCAGGCAGAGATGTGGGATGGATGATTCGACCACTCACCTACTCGCGCATTGCGTAGTTCAAGTTGACGATCCCTCATTGTTACTTGCAGGACAGCAGTGGTAAAGCCTCCTTCCCTAGTATAATTACAATCCTCCGGCTGTAGTTGGGGTTCACCCATTATCTTGCTCCCAATTCGCGTTGGGACAGTGTCCTAAGCAGGCACGCCTGTGGCAATTCACTGGCAGCAAGGCCATTGCTGGTACTTGCAAGTGGCCCGATTTTTTTCTGTTTTTTCAACTTCTTGTTTGCCCCTTTTTCCACATACACGACCTGATACACACATCCAATGCATTTTCTTTCGTGCTTTTACCTTTCTTGGAGTCTTTTCAAAGAATGATTGCCACAGATTAAGGTTTCCTTTGGTGGTAAGAATGTACATATAGAAATCACCACCAACCAAGCCCGAGTACGCGCAGCCTTTATGGCATTCGATAGCTCAAGAAAACCTCCGTTGTCCAGGTCACCGCCAAATAGGGAGAGGCAAAAAGGGTTACCTGTCGACAGTCTAAGCGTGCCGCAATTCATTAGAAATCGAACTCTAGGGCGATCGCGGACACCAAGTACAAAATCCAAAAGCTGTGACAAAAAGAAAAGCAAGAACTCGGCACGGAGCATTAACCCGTCGCCCACAAAAGCTATAATGTGTGGATGTGAGGAAGGGGTAAGAGAGACTCTCACCCACTGCCAACTGGAGTGTCAAAAGGCACGGCAGGTGTGGCAGATTATCAGAAAGTTATGGGCCGAGGCCTCTGCCTTTTCGAGGTGTCACTGCTGTTGGGTACAGTAGTACCGAAGTCCTGGTCGAGGTTTGAATGTAGATGCTTCCAGTTGATGTGCCAGTATGGTTTGTGGACAATCTGGAAGAGAATCTCAGAAAACAATAGAAAGGAAGCCAATGCATACTAGACAAGCGGAGGACTCAGAAATCTCCTGCAGGTGAACATCATGGTGCAGTGGAAACGAGCAAGGGAGACGATGAAGGACAGAGTGGAAAAGGCCAAGGAAAGAAGGCAGCACTTTGAGCAGGTCTTGCAAAGGGGTAAGGTGGCAAGCATAGAGGGTGGTAGAGAAGTTCCGGTGGTGGACAGAACTCATGAGCCGGCATCTTCACTTGGGCCCATGGAGGCAGGAGGAGACGGAGCAAATTGGTGTAAACTCAGAAACTCGGTAAATAGGTGCATTGGGCACGGGACAAGGGGCAAAATATGAGAAGGGAGCAGGAAGAGGAAGGGAGGAGCAATGCATTCGCTTAAGAAGAAGGTAGTGGGATAGGAGGAGGAAGAAAGGCAGGAATGGAGTATGGGAGGGTCAGGAGGGACTAGGAAAGAGCAAGGGTTAATCCTCCCCGGGAGGAGTGCAATCAATGCCCTCCGCCCATAGGAATAGTCTAGGAGTAACTTGGGCCAAGAGTTGAGCAACAAGGCACTGGAGTTAGGAGTAAGGGAAGAGATAGAAAGGTGATAAAGACAGCACAGGGGTGAGCCGGGGTACATCCTTGCTTTAGGGAGCTATTATACTGGAGAGCAGGGCAGACACTGAGCAGCGTACAGACAGGACCCGACTGACTACCTGCGTGGCTGCAGGTGAATGTTGAAATTTTTCATGACAACTTGCAGCGTAGACAGAACACCACTTTCAGATTGATCATAGAAGAGCTTGTACATCAGCACCTTTGCCACCCTGATCTCTCGGGCACCTTCGGCTGTTGCTTCGTCTGATGTTTTAAGCACCAAATCAAGAACATGAATCTGTCAAAGAAAGGTAAGAAAACAATACGGACACAAACTATAAAAGCAACTCCCAAAGACAGAAATTATATGCATCCGCTATTGAACACAAAACAACTGCAACAAAGAGTCTTTTCTTTCCCCTCATCTCAGGTTTACCTTAACTTATCCATCTTCTACCGAGCACAGGAAAATTGGCTGCTGCACGCTACCTTTTCTTGCTCTGGAGGATCTTAAAGATTTGACAGCGACAACAACAACAACAACAATGTCTGGCATTTGGACTTCATCACCATTTCCATTTTCAAGACCCCTACCCTTACCTGCTAGATTGTGAACATCATAAGTGAAGTTACCAGCGACATAGTAATGATATGGTGAAAGTATCCTTAAATGAAAAGCTAAGGAAACATTCAACGACTTCTTGGAAATATACTGAAATGAAAAGCCCAAGAATAATGCAATGAGGTAGGCGGAGGGAGGGAGGGAGAAAAACCCATGACTGTAAGGATTCAAAAACAGATTACGCGGCCTCTCAAAAGAAGCCGCAATAGATCACAATCGTAACCTTCCTTCATCACACCTAGTTCCAATCAGAGTTAAACATGACTGAGACTAAGGGTAGCAGCCAGCCTCTGAAGGCGTGAATGGCTTGATCTCTTGCAATTTATAGGCCCCACTGCCCCAGGACAGCTGAGCAGCAATTTAACAGCCGTACATTGTAGCTGACATAACTATCAATGAACAGCTTCATGAGTATTTTACTATTTTATCTATGACACACCTGGAATGTCTGTAACCCCAAAGTTACTTATCATGAGTAAGTAGGACAAATAGCGGCAAGAAGACCATCACCAAGACAATCACCGCAATCGGTATTCAGTCTTTTTTTTCAGACTGCGAGCATATACCACTCTCAAGAGTCTCAACCCCTTTCTTCATGGCGACTCCTCATCCTAGCACTTCCAGGAACAGCGTCCAAGGTAGGGTAACCCTGCAATCCCTGGCCCACACCTGCTTTAGATAGGACAAGAAGAGATGAAGACTGACACAACTCAAATTGAAGAAGAAGACGACATGAGCTTTCCTATCTGGTGCTATCAATCTTCCTCCCGACATTCCCTCGATGCATACTGGTGAGAAACCCAATCTAAATAACATTCTGTAATGACCCGCCATAACACAGACTGAGAATACTGCTGATTTCTGAGTTCTGCCACTGGAATGGATGCTTTGCTGAGATTCCCGCATTCTGCTGAGTTTTCTTTTTCTCTGTTTCTTTTTTTCTTTTTTTCTTTTTTTCTTTTTTTCTTTTTTTCTTCTTTAAACGGGTCCTTATGGTCCCGGCTCCATATCCATTCTGGGGAGCGTCAGTCCAGTTCCTTTCCACCGGCAAGTCAAAACCAGCACTGCACTTCACAGACTGGTGCAAACAGACAACGGAGGACAGGAAAGCGCACAACCAACCAACGGATCACATGGAAACAGACGAATAGTCACAATAGAAACACAAGACAGGAATCAATCTCTTACTCAGATAAACCATCCGGAATACCACCGGAAAAATAGAAAACAAACTAGTATTAGAATCAGAAATTAAAATAAGACTAGCCCTACAAGACAATCTACACTGGACTTCACTAGTTCTCAATCACATCAGAGAACTCGCTCCCTTCACCTCCCCACCAAATATGACAGGCCTCTTCTGGATTTTCAACAAATTCTGGTCACTACCGAAAGGGAAACAGAGACGGTCCGACCAAACACACCAGAGGAACGTTAACGAATCCCCCCAGACTAAATCACTCTGGGAGCAAATTCTACACATCTGGAGAATCATCTTCCCAGAGAACAGAACTTGTCCAAAGAGAAAAGACGAAGTCCTTAGACAACCCCTATTCGGTAACCCACTGATTAGGAACGACAAAAGAGAAAGCCTCACACTCTCAAAATCAGAACCCAAATGGGAGCACTGGCTAGAAAAGGGAATATGGCAAATCAAACACATTTGGGACGAACCAAACAAAACCTGGAAAACAGAAAGAGACCTACGAGAACAACTTAAAGGAGTTCACCACCTGCAAGCTAACTTATCCGACATCATAGACTGCATCCCCCTCCACTGGCGAGGCCTACTAAAATCAAAACAAGAATGGCAAATTGGAGACTGGGCCATCAACAATGACTCCTCAATAATCCAGGAAGTCCTCGAATTCAAGAACTACAAACCCCATAACAAAGAATGGATATCCTGCGACATACACACCCTAGAAGAACCAGGAAACCCGGTGAGCTATATCAATACAAAGAGCAGAGCAGAAGGAGCATTCAGAAACAGCAACCTCCGAAGTATCAAAATCTTAGAAGGGGAAAGAAAAAAGTCTATAAACCCCACATTAGCGTCTGCGATCTAGAGATCGATCCCACAGAATGGACATGGAGCTCCCCCGCTGGTTCTACCCTCATCTCCAACTCCTACAAACTAATTGACTACACACCTAAACTAGGCTACCATCTTTTCACCAAACCCATTTCAATATCCAACACAATACGCAACAGGTGGACGAAGGAGGAACCACAATTAGCCAACACCCACTTTAAACTCCCCTGGCCCRCAGTMCTATCCACAAGACCGGTTAAGCTAGCAGGCCTAAGATGGCTAATAGCCTTTAGAGCAGTCCCAGTAAACAAATGGTTGGCCATCAGACGCAAACAAGATAACAGATCCGAACAGGAATCCTGGTGTAAGGTATGCAACCTTGATATTCCTGAAACCCTAAACCACTGTTTCATGGATTGCCCAAAGGCAAGATCMCTCTGGGAAGCCCTAGAATCATCATGGTAAAAAATCTCGGACTCTCCCCTACTAATTAACCCCGCCACACTATTCCTCGACCTCAACCAATCACCCCCACTAAAAGGATTCGAAGCCTTCCTCGCCTCCCAAATCAAGAAAAACACCCTATGGGCCATATGGAAAAACAGATGCGACATCACCTTCGACGACAGACTCACCCCCCCCCCGAAAACCCACTAATCATTATCAGACAACTAATAGACACCGAAATTCACGCCCTATGGAAACAACAACTCAAGAACCTCCCAACTGACCCAGACAAAAAGAATCTATTAATCCAAAAATTCTCCACCTCCAAACTAGGCAATGGGTTACTAGGCACAATTAACAACGACAGACTAATTCTAAAAAATTGGCTATCCATAACACAAACATAAGGCCTCCACACAAACCCCCCACCCCCACACAATCCACCCCATCATTACTCACCCTCCTTCGAACCATCTAAGACCCCCAACCCTGCATCAACCCAACTCCTTCCCCCCATCGCGCCCCACACACCCCCAACCT